TGTGGGCAGCAGGAAGGAGGCAAAGCCCCCTCGTTTGTGTCTCAGGGGGAGAGGGTCTTTGTGGTACTGCAGCCCACAGCTGCTCCCTACAAATGCTCTGGAGCCACTGGCCTGTCCCCATGCTGCGTACTGTTAGCCTAGCCACCCCGAGGCCTCTGACATGGGGCCTGGACCCACACTTTCTTTACGTTTAGGAGGTCAGCAGAGTCCTGCACCTCTGCCCGCCTCAGTGCAGTCGGAGAAGGCCCAGCTCTGAGCTTTGGGGTCAGGAACCAGAGAGGCTCAGGCAACACTGCCCGGCCTGAGATCGGTCTGGCTTGACAATTAAGAACACAGGCCTGGCACCAATGGTGCCGCTGGGCTCCTGCCACCTCAGGACCTCAGAACACCACGAGCTGCTGGGCCACCTCCCCGAGCTGCAGCGTTCTGTGACATGGGCACGCTATAAGCTAGTGCCCCACAGGGCTCGGGTGAAGACGGGAAGGGAGTGTGCGCGCACTACAACATGGAGCGTGTGATCTAGGGCACAGGGACAGCCCACAATTGCTTGTCCCCTTCTGTCCAGTCTCTTTGGAGACCCCGGGGTTGCCTACCAGCTGGAGGCAACCTGGGCCTTAGTCATTTCGGGGTTGTTAGAGCTGGGGGGCTGGTTTAAGTTTAGAGAAAGGTTGCCTTTCATATGGGGGCAGGAATGGGGTTCCAAGGAAGTCCCCAAGCCCCGGCCTTGCTCTAGGGTTTGCAGGTTGATGGAGGAGGCAGAAGAATTGATGATGGTCCAGACTGGCAGTCATTCTCAGTCAGTAGTTCTCACCTTCCTCATGCCGCCACCCTTTCATACAGTTCCTTATGTTGTAGTGACCCTCCAACCATAAACTGATTTTCGTTGCTACTTCATCATGAATCGGGCGACCCCTGTGAAAGGGTTGTTCGACCCCCAAAGGAGTCGCGACCCACAGGTTGAGAACCGCTGCTCTAAGTCTCCCTGTCTGTACTACTCTCTCTCTCTATCGAGACTGGACTCCTCTCTGAAACAGCGTTGCTAGCCTCTGACCCACAGGCACCGCACGCCACGGGGCAGCGAGGGCCCTGCAGGGAGTGCTCCTGGGCGCAGCACTGACCACCGGCCCTGTGTCCTTGAGTGTGTTCTGACCTCATGCAGGTATACAGAGGACTTTACTCCAGGGTCCTCCTACCTCATTGCTAGAATGTTCTCCAATTATGCTTTCTTCTGTCAGACTGGAATCCCTTTCCTCATTCTGTCTGCTAAAGACCCATCTACCACTTCCTGCGTGACACCCTCCCCGAGCGGTCCTGCTGGGCACCGCCACATTGCCCCTCACACCTGACTTCCATATTGACTAGATGGGACTGAGTGGAAAGGCAGCATGCTTTGGTTACCTTGGCCAACTTAGTAACAGTCACAGAACAAGTGCTCAGGGGTGGGAAAGGGGTTCCCCTGGACAATACAGATGGTCAGAATGACGTTATCAGGGTTCATACCGGGGCGATTTTCCCTTTCACGCAAAGCCCTGTGGGCCAATGCCGCACTGGTTTCTGCCTTGTCACAGCTTGCCCACCTTCCGAGGCCAAGCAGCCTGACTTCTGGGGACCCTGGAAGGTTTCCTCACTGAACACTTGCCAGGCCAGGTGGTGCAGGGAGAGGGGTAGCAGGCAGGCAGGGGAAGGAGCCTCATCCAGGAAATAAAGATTCTTCCTCTCCACAGAACTTGCCCCACAAGTATCTGCTAAATTTATCCCTAAGTGTCCTCTCTGTAAGTCAGCCTTTCTTGGCTCTGCCCCCTCCCCGAGGCTGCAGCTACCGTCTCTCTGTGCACATCAGAGCTTATGTGTGCGGTAGCATCTGTCACCCTTGAGGGTGCTATTCTCAGCGGTCCTTGGAGGGCAGGCCCAGGTCTGACTTGTCATCCAGAACTGGCTATGCATCTGGCAGACATTCGCCGAGGAAGGGCAAGAAGTGATGAGCAAAGAAAGGGCTCCCCCCTCCCCCCGCTGTGTGGACCTGGCATGCTGCTGGCTAGCCCCTGTCCATTTCCCTGCTGCCTTAGAGAATTTCAAGACTGCCTTACTGCCACCCTCTCCTCACTCAAGGTTGCATACTCCAAGACCCACGGCTGCCCATGGTGCAGACGGACTCATGCAGCCCCCTCAGTGCTGGCTCCTGCCCTGTGAGCCAGATGCAGGATACAGAATAGGCGGCTGAGGAATAGTTCCAGATGGTGTGCATGCGTGGTACATGTCCATCCAAGCCCATAGCCTTCCTGGGCTCTCTGGGCTAGGATGTCTTCATCCCAGAGTCCTTACCTGGTGCAATGAGGGGGTGGGCAGCCACCGAGGGCAGCACCCGGCCGAGCCCGGCCCGGCCCTCCATGGTCCCCGGCACGCTGCTGTTGCCCTCTCCTTTCTTGAGTGCTTCCAGCGCACTGTCAGTTAGGCCGGACTTGGCACCTGCAGGGGAGCCCTGAGCGGAATTTCTGCCCTGTGATGGGGTAGGCAGAGGCTGGCTACCACTTGGCGTGGGTTTCAAGGCCAAGCTGGGGACGACAGACTGGGTGGGGGTGGGGCCCGAGGCTGCTGTGGCTGGTGTCTGCTGAGGCCGGAGAGTCAAGTTCTGTACCTGGAAGAGAGGGTTCCATCGGAATCCGTAGAATGTGGACGGCACCAATGCCCACACAGGACTAAGTGGGAGAAGGAGGCTGGGCTGGATCCAGGAGTGACTGGGCGGGTGGACAGTCTGGGTGTGGGCAAGGGCATGGGCATGAGAGTGGGCATGGACATGAGCATGGGGTGTGGGCTTGAGCATGGGCATGAATGAGGGCGAGGGCATGAGCGTGGGCGAGGGCGACTGAAAGAAGAACCAGGAGCAGATGGAGATTCCAAAAGAAGCAAGAAAGGTGGCAGTGGTTGGATCGACCATCTGTATGAGGAACTGAATTCTGAGAAGAAGCTGAGGCCAGGCCTTTCTCCCTCTGATTACCTCGCCACCACTCCCACCTCTCAGGATCAGAGATATACTGTCAAGAACTCATTCCCAGATACAGCAGGGCCTGGGGCTTCCCACACTGGAAAAGGCCAGGGTAAACTGAATGCTCATTGGCCAGCAAGGCTACCCAGGGACCGACTTTCTTGCCCTTACAACAAGCTCAACACTGGGCCTTTCCAAGACAGAGCTGCGTGTTTAGTCAGCCTGGTCCCGGGTGCCCTCTGCTGGACACATGGAGGCTCTGCCAGGTGTGAACCAGACTAATCTGAGCTGCCTGCCGCCCAATCTCCACTCTATAGAGGGCTTCAGGAGGGTGTCCTCCCCCGGTTGTCCATAGAACCTTTACAGCCTCGCTCAAATCTATGCGCCCCCCAGGAGATGTAGGAAGCAGGGATCCATCCCTGCTCCTGCCTCCATACTGTTTTTCCTGGTGCCTGGCTGCACTGGCATTTGAAATCAGAGCAGGAGTTAAAAAGCAGCAGCAACAGAAGAAGCAATACAGGGGAGGCTGTAAGGTACAAAAGGTGGCCCAGACACCGCCCCCCCCAGCAGCCCTGCTCACCTCAGCAGGCTGGGCTCTGACGCCGAAGTCATAATCGAGGGCCTGAGACCCGCCACGTGAAGTTGAGGGTTTCTCAGCCTCCCACCTGCCTGTGCAGCAATGGCAGGCTCCTCCAGGTGTGCCCAGCCCCAAGGTCAGAGCCCCTCTCGAGGGGTGCCCCCCACTGCCCACCCACCCACAGGGAGTCCTCACCTGGGCAGGGGTGGGGGGCCGGGCGGGGGAGCCAGTGCTGAGCTCAGGCTGCACAGTAGCAACGGCGGCCGTGGGCGTGAAGATGAGCTGAGGGGACAAAGGAACAGTGCCGCCTAGGCCCCTAGCTACCTGCACCAGGTGACCTGGCTGGGCCTGGAATCACAGGAAACGAGGCCCCTTTTACCTGCCCCAGGTGGGCTCAGCCACAGGCCAGGCCAACTTAGCCAGGGGGCAGCTAGAGGGAAGGCTAAGGAGGGAGACACTGGGAGGCAAGACGGGGAGGAGTGCAGTGGAGGGGAAGCAGCAGCATGTTCCAAAGCCGGGGCTACCACCTTCCCCACCTGGCTGGGACGCACTTTGGGCCCCTGAGCTAGTGGTGGGTGGTCCCAGTCAGAGACCCAAATGTCACAGTGGGATAAGACCCCTTTTGATGGTGCCGGGGGCTATAGGCTTACTTATCTCACACATCTGAGTGTTGGGGACCACTGGTGCACAGGCCCTTGCATTGTCTATGTCGGTTTGGGGGCAGAGAGGCCCTCAGGAGAAAAGAATAATTGTTCCACTCTGGGAAGGGAAGGGGGCGTTGAAGCTTGGAATCCCACCCACCCTTGATTTCTGGAGACAAGCTCCCCGTCCTGTCCCCCTTCCAGATCCACCCTTATTTATTACAGGACCCACCCTCCTGACCATCCCCGATCCATCTTCCGACCCTTTTTGAGTTCCCCAGCCCCCAACTCTGTTCTCTGGACCCATCCATCTGAGCCGGGCCTCACCATTTGTGCCCTCAGGTACATTTGTGCTTGGCTGGCCGTCAGGGCGGGAGAAGAGGTGTTGCCCAAGAGCACTGCCTGCTGGGCGATGCCTGAGGCTGTGGCCGAGTTGACGCTCTGTGCCCGACTGATGAGCTGGGCAGCGGCCGGATTGAGCTGATGAGAGAGACGTGAACAGCATGTTCTGTTGGTTAATGCTGTGCCCTCTTTGTCGGTTTTACCCCCGTCCCCCCACTTCTTTTCTATGGGGGATTCAGCCTTAGGAAGGCCTCTGATCCCTGGGAGCTTCCCCTCCGCACCGCTCTCATCAGTGGCCCAGGGGCGGAGCCGCAGGGGTCATCCAATGGGGAGAGAACTGAGCCTTGACACTGGAAAGGTGACTGGAGTTACAGTGGAAGAGTCAAAAGGTGACAGGAGTTATAATGGAAGAGCTAGAGTGGAATCTGCTTCTGCTTCTTTTTTTCTGGCAAGAGCAACAGATTCCAGCCACAAGTCTACCTGGCTGAGGATTCACTGCCATTGGGTCTGCGCATGCACAGGCATTGTGGGTAGAGAGGAGGGAACTGGCCTTGAGCTGCGGGTGCTGCCCACTCACCGAGGACGGCTGGGCTGGTGCCTGCGCAGCCCCGCTGCTGCCCGAGGAGCTCCCTTGTCTGTTGGCTACCAAGCTTGCCTAGGAAAGAACACAACCTGTCATTCCAGAGCCACGTCTCCCCCACACTCATCTTCTCAAAGAAGCATCACAGGCCGGCCGGCCGGGGGGGAGAGCGGCCCACAGAGAGAAATCATCTGGAACCAAATCCCCAATCTGCTACATCTGTGTGTCCTTGGGTTTCCTCTCTCATACGCTGTATGCCATGAGTGTGTCTACCGCGCCGAGGTGCTGAGGAGAGGCAACCAGGCAACACACAGAGAGCATTTCTATGGAAGCACTCAGTTTCCTGCTTGTAGCTGTCGTTACTGGCTAGTGATGCCAACTCTCTCTCGCCCCACAGCACCAACCACCATATCACACCTGGCTCATGGACTCCCATGTGGAAGAGTTTGGCACATAGAATCTGGAAAGTGCGACCTACCTCCTTCCCCTGGCTGCTTCTAAGCCTTCAAGTGTTGGCCCCAAGAGGCCTTCTCTGACCACTCACTGAGCACACCCCTCTTTGCTATTCCCTCACAGCAACCTGGTCTTTCCCTTCAGAGTGCTTATCATGGCTTCCCCCAAACCAGCCCCAAATTCGTGGCCTTTGAGTCATTTCCGACCCATAGTGGCCCTATAGATAGGGTAGTCCTGTCTGTGAGTTTCCCACTGTGATTCTTTGCAGGAGTTGAAAGTCCCTTCTTTCTCCTAAGGAGTGGCTGGTGGATTTGAACTACTGACCTTGCGGTTAGCAGCTCAATGCTTTTGGGTAAGGATGGGATCAGCTCCTGTAAAGATTTACAGACTCAGAGCCATTGTGAGTTGGCATCCACTCAGTGGCAGTGGGATGAGCTATTTTGGTTTTCTCGGTTTAGATTTTTGTTGACTTGCTGTCTCTCCAATAAAAACCCACAGTATTCCTAGCATGTGACCTGACCTTTTGATAGTTGAAGTAGGCACTAGGCAGTTTTCACTGAAGGAGGGAACGGGTGAGTCCTTCTCAGCCACTACAAGGAGAGAGAGCTAACCCATGCAGAAATGCTAGTTGGGCAGTGCCCTTCTCCATGAACACCTCCTTGGTCCCTCTCCTAGTCATTCAGTGATGTGGCCAAGAAGGGGGTTCTCCCTGTACTGCTTCCTCAGGTTAGAGGAGGCAAGACTCCCTGCCATTGCACTCACTAGCTCTGTGACCTGGAGGAGGCACGTCATCTCCAGCGCCTCTGGTCCGTCTGTGCCGGAAGGAGGTGCTGACAGCAGCAGCTGCGTCACAGGGGTTCTGTGAGGATTCAGGGAGGTGGTGCCTGCGAAACACCTGTGCCATGCAGTGCCTGGCATGGCATGGTTCAACAGACGTGGGCTTTCCCTCTTACTACTGCTACCGCTCTCGACATCATCACCACCACCACCACCACCACCACCATCATCATCATCCTTCTTACCATCATCATCAGCATCCTTCTTACCACCACCACCACCACCATCATCATCCTTCTTAACATCATCATCATCAGCATCCTTCTTACCATGATCATCATCCTTCTTACCATGATCATCATCTTTCTTACCACCACCACCACCACCACCACCACCATCATCATCATCATCGTCATCGTCGTCCTTCTTACCTGCTGCACAGCCGCCAGGCTCTGGAGCTGGGCGCTGCTGAGGTGCTGCTGCTGCAGCGCTGCGGTCTGCAGCATGAGGTGCTGCTGCTGGGCGGCGTACATCTGCTGCAGGTACTGAGCGGCGGTGCTGGGCTGCCGGTGCAGGGCCTGCTGGATCACCTACAGAGGGCAGGGGCCGGAGGCCAGGAGAAAGGGCTGGTGCACCCAACTGGCCACCCGCCACACCTGCTGTGGACCTGCTCCTTCTGTCATGCCTCGTCTGGGCTTTGAGGCTGCCACTGTGACCAATGGGCACCCTCCAGGTGGGGAAGAGACCTGTTTGCATAAGCTTTATACATGTCTGCCTGGCTGTCTTGCGTTTCGCTTCAGTGTCCATTTTCCTCACATTTCCCCAACACCCTGTGCTCCTGGGCGGCGTTTCTGCTCCGGCCAACTCTCGAGGCCGTAAGGAGGCTCAGAAGGACAGAGGCCCTTAAGGCCCCCGTCGTGTCCCATGACAGCTTGGCAGCCAATTCTGCAGCTAGGAGTAGGCTGACAGGGCACGAAGAAGGCGAGGGCACAGAGGATAGAAACTCAAGAAGCCCGAGAGAATGAAGAGGTGGCGAGAAAGGGATTGGTCAGAAGGGGGGCCCAGGCCAGCTTCACCAGGTAGCCAGGCAAATGACAAGTATCCAGAGGCAACGCCTCCTCTGGTGGGCCTTCAAGGTGGATTCTACACTGCATCGGAGGCTCTGCCCCTGGTTCCCTAGCACGTTCCGTCAGTCCGTCTGAAGAAGCCCGGCTTTGCAGGGCAGACTGATGCCAGAGGAATGAGCCAGTTCCCCGTGAGCCATGCCCTCCCTCTCTCCAGGCCTCCTTTGTTGTCACTGCCGGCCCTGTCTCCAGCCTTTACTGCTTCCCCTTCTTTCCTGATGGGATGGGTTGAGCCGGGGCCTCTAGGAAATGACAGAAGGGTTGGCTTCGAATCTAAAGGTTGGTGGCTCAAAGCCACCTAGCCTCATTTTGGAAGGAAGGTCCGATGAACTATGCCCAGGGAGATGACAGCAAAGAAAACCCTCTGGAACATTCTACTCAGAATCGACTCAGTGGCAATGGTTTAGGTTGGACTCTCCCACTCTCTAGCCCCAACCCCTCAGAGCCCTTTCCCAACCCTCAGGGACAAAGAAAAGGGACTACCTGCCCGTCAGCCCTGAGATCATCAATGTTCATCCTCCAGAGAGATTTCTCTTCCCTTCTCCTCCTCATCCTGTCGCTTTGCTGTCCCCTCTCCCCACTGGGTGCCTTGCACCGGGTGTTGTCCAAGCTTTGACCTACTTCCACCCTGAGCTCCGTTGAAGCCTTGGCTATCAAGCTGCTCCCACGCTTGGTTCCTCCCCTCCCCCCAGCGAGGGAGCCTCTGGTCTGCTTCTACCAAGTGCTGGGAACTCTAGCACAAAACACTGGGCTCGGATTCGGGGTTCTGTGAGAACGTGCTAACGTCACAGATTCCCTCTGGGCTCTGGGGTTCTCCATAGATGCCTCTGCACACTCCCTCCCCACAGCCCACCATGTCTACGTCTTTCGTTCAGGAACTGTTTATCATGAGCTCGGTTATTTTATTCTGTTCTTACCGTCTGTACCTAGGCCTCTCTATGTTTCTCATCGGTGTAAAAGTAACCTACATGGTGGGCCAGTCAGCAGCAGGAGTGGTGAGGCGACTCATCCTTGCGAGGGGGTGCCAATGGACGGAAACAGGAGGTAGCCCCAGGGACTCTGCTTGGCCGTGGAAAGCAAGCAAGCCGCAGGTCACGCCACTTGGGAGAGCCACTTGGGAGAACAGAAACCCCATCCCATTTGCTTAGAGTTCTGATGAGAGCGAGGAAGAGGGCTCACCTCGGTGTTAACTGCTGGCAGCTAGAGGAGCCCAGGTGGCTTTGGTGGTTACAACTGAACTGTTAACCACAACGGCAACTGCTGGAACTCACCAGTGGCTCGGGGCAGAAAGATGAGGCTGTCTGCTCCCAGGAAGATCAGCAGCCTCAGCAGGAGCTGCTCAAAGGCGCAGTTCGCCTCGGCCACTCTGTCCTATTCGGTCACTATGAATTGACTTGATCATGAGATGATTATTTTTGACAGCTAAACTATTCAGAAGAAGACGTGGAACAAGGGCTATCATTGCTGATGTCTGATGGATCTTGGCTGAAAGTAGAGGACCCCAGAAAGAGGTTTACTTGTGTTTCATTGACTACATCAAGGCATTGGACTGTGTGCATCATAACAAATTATGGATCACCTTGAGAGGAATGGGAATTCCAGAACACTTCAGTGAGCTTATGCAGAACTTGTACATGGATCAGGAGGCAGTTGTGCGAATGGAACAAAGGAATACATCATGGTTTAAAGTCAGGAAAGGCGTGAGTTAGGGTTGTAGCCTCTCACCATACTGACTCATCTGTATGCCGAGCAGATCAGCAGAGAAGCTGGATTATATGAAGAAGACCGCAGCATCAGGAGTGGAGGAAGGCTTATGAACAACCTGCAGTATGCAGATGACACAACCTGGCTTGGTGAAAGTGAGGAGGAATTAAAGTACTTCCTGATGAAGATCGAGGAGTGAAGCCCTCAGTATGGAGTACGACTCAATGTAAAGATGTACAAAATCCTCTCAACTAGACCAATAGGTGACATCATGAGAAGTAAAGAAACGTTGAAGTTGTCAAGGATTTTGTCTTGCTTGGATCCACAATCAATGCTCATGGAAGCAGCAGCCAAGAGATCCAAAGACATATTGCATTAGGTAAATTTGTTGCCCAAGACCTCTTTAGAGTATTGAAATGCAAGGATGTTACTTGGAGGACGAACATGCACCTGCCCTAAGCCCTGGTACTTTGCTTTGCCTCACATGCACGTGGAAGTTGGACATTGAATACGGGAGACTGAAGAAGAAAGATGCATTTGAATTGTGGTGCTGGAGAACGATATGGAAAACGCCATGGACTGCTGAAAGGACAGACGGATCTGTCCTGGAAGAAGCATCGCAGAGTACTCTTCAGATGCAAGGGTGGCAAGGCTTTGTCTTACATGGTTGGACATGTTGTCAGGGAGACCAGTCCCGGAGAAAGGCAGCGCGCTTGGTACGGTGTCGGGGCAGTGAAACAAAGGGAGGCTCTGGACAAGAAGGACTGACATCTGGGCTGCACCTGGGCTCACACATGAGAACAATTGGGGGGTGGCCCAGTGCTTTGTTCTCTTGTGCATAGGGTTGCTATGAGTTGCAACCCACACGATGACACCTAACAACAACTAAGCCTTCCTGCATGAAGAGGCTGGCAGTGGGGGTGGGGGTGAGGGAGGATGGGTACAGGACACATGGTTTGAACCTGAGAGAGTGAGCAGTACTCTGAGAGAGAGCAGATGCTAAGGAACCTTCTTGCTAAAGTGTCTTCTTGAACTTGACACTTCGTGCCCTGTCCATGGCCTGCAGTGCCATCTTCTCCATCCTCTTCTCTGGGCCTGGCCAGAGAAGGGTGAGGTCATTTGTCTCATGTGCCCAAGCTGCGACAGCAACATGACTGAGGGTGCACTGTTCTCGCTTGCCGACCCTTTTGGGCCTGAGTAATCTGGGAACCTCAAACAGACACTGTAGTGATTATGAGCACAGGTTGTGGGAGGGGAGTGTGTGTAAGAGTTAGAGGTACAGTGTTTTGGTCTTTTCCTGAATGACCTTGGACAAATTTGGGAAGCCTGGTGGCACAGTGTTAAGTGCTTGGTTGCTAGGTGGAAGGTCAGTGGTTTGAACCCACAAGCTACTCCATGGGAGAAAGAGATGGGCATCTATTTATGTAAAGATTTACAGCTTTGGAATCCCGATGGGGCCGTTCTAGTCTGGTCTGTAAGGTGGCTCTGGGTGGAAATCAATTTGGTGACAATGGGTTTTTAGGAGCCTCAGTTTTCACAGCAAAAACGTGTGTCTAGTGATAAAATTGGAGGAGGGGAGCGGGGGTGGGTGGGAGGGGGGAGTCTGTAGAAGGCTCCGAGCAGCGCCTGTCAGTAAGCAGTCGTGACTGCACTGTGGGACAGCTGCGCAACTTCCAGCCAGGCATGCCTTTGCCTTTGCATCTTCACATGTCCACACACTTATTCTCCCAGAATGCCATCGGGTAATCATCAGGTAAGAAGGGAGTTGTTCTGATCTTGCAACTATCCCCCTGTCCCCAGACTTCCTGGGCTGGGCTCCTCTAGCGTCTCTCTGTCCTCTGAAGACGTGCAAGTGCGCAGGTCAGTGAAGGTCGTACGTATTAAGCACAAGTATCAAAATGTGGAACCATTGTTGCAACAAGTCACCCCCTGGGTCTCTGCACTCGGGGAGGCGGGGTTTCATCAGAACCCTTCCCCGGAGAATTCTGCGCTCCTCCCTGTGCCACCGCACCCAAGCGGCGGTGTTGGCATCCCCGAGGGAAGTGGATGCTTTCGTTTAAAATGTTCTTTGGGTTTGGGGTGCAACAAGAAGTCTGAGGGGGCAAGATCAGGTCTTGGATGCGAGGACAAGGTTAAAGTTTCTCAATGAACTCTTCCTAGGCCAGCCTTCCTACCCTCCGAGGACAGACAGGGGTTGTCCCGAGGGGGCGAGGGGGCAGTTCCTGGAAGACTTTCCTGCCTCTTTTCTCACCACGGAGCTTTTCAAGTGTCTGCAGCCATCTTCACAATAAGCCCCTGTCATCCCGTGCTCTTGGAGACCAACATGACCCCTTTGGAATGCCAACCCCCCTCCCCCCAAGTTGCCCAAACCTTCTGAGCTCAGCAGATGCCCCTGGAAGCCACTTTGGGTTGGGCTTTTGATGGCAAAGCCTTAACAAGACCAAGAAAGGCTATTACGGAGGGAACTTGTCTGCAGCCACTCCTGAATCGCAGAGACAGGTGCGAACACGCTCTGTTTGGAATAAAACCGTGTGTGCGTGTATGAACGGGGACCCAGGTGGCAATACTTTTGAACTTGCCCTCATACGCATCCACCAACGCACTCGGTATAATCTATGGCGATTCTCGATGCCACACCCAGACCCCACCCACCGGGCCAGGAGCCGCTCCCCCTCTGCAGACACTACAGAGTAGGGTTCTCGGTTCAGGTGGAGTCTTACCTGCACGGTCTGCCGGTCAGGAATACCACTGTACACAGAAATCTGGGGCCCAGTGGGGTGGCCACTGCCACCACTGCTGCTACTGTTGCCGCCACCGCTACTGGTGACCCCACTGGGACTGCTGGTGACGCTGGCGCTGCTAGACGTGTGCGGGACTGGCAGCTCATTCTCCATGGCCTAGAGGGTGGCACAGTCGTGGCGTTCGGCTGGTAGGAGAGCAGGCGTCTTCTGGGAGGGAAAGGCAGAATTGAATCTTAAATACTTCGTAGAAAACACACACAGGCGCATGCTTCGACTTTTTCAAACCGCCTGCGTAGGCCCACTTCTGCAGTGAGGTCTCCATGCGCACCTGACCTCATAGTGATGGGGCCGGGGCTGGTGGAGTAGGGCAGATGTGCTACCCGTCTGCCTGGAGGAGGCAGCAGAACCAGTGAGCCACCCACTGCCATGGGGTTGATCTGACGCAGAGCTACGCTATGGGACAGAGGAGACTGTGCCTTGGGGTTTCTGAGGCTGTACATGTGGGTTTGACCCACCCACCTTGTGACCAGCAGTGCAATGCTTAACCCAGGACACAGCCAGGATTCCCAAAGCCTGACACTCACTGCCATGGAGTCAGTGCTGACTCACAGCGACCCTCTGTGGGCTTCTGAGACTCTGAACTGTTTGCGGGAGTAGAACACTCAGATTTTCTCCTGAAGAGCTGCTGGTGGTTTTGAACTGCCAACCATGGGGGTCACAGCCCAACTTGTAACCACTACACCACTAGGGTACCAACCATAACACCGGAGAAGGAGGCAGCTTTCCAATACCTGCAGTAGGCTTAGGGATCATCTTGCCCTGTCTTTGTGCTGGGAACACCCAACAGCAAAGAGCTCAAATGACCTGCCCACAGTTATACAACCAGTTCGTGAGACAAATGGGATTCAACGTCTTGAGAGAACCGAATGCAGAGAAGAGGCAAATCAAGGAGGCGAGAAATGAAGTGCTTATTCTGTTTTGTTTCTAAAGCCAGAGAAGAGTTCTGAGGCTGTGTGGGTCTCCGTTGTCCTTGCTAAGCATGGAGTGCGCCTCCAGTGCTGCTCAGGGCACCGCAAGGAGCCCTTTGGCTGCCAGCGCCGGATTGGGGTTCTGCCTGTTCCCAGCGGGTGAGTCACAACTTCTCTCCACCGCTTCTTCATTTGTACACTAAGAGTATGTGGCTGGGGAGGCTGACGGAAAAAAGCCCTCAGTAGAGTGTCAAGCCTAAGCCAAGAGCTCCATAACTATTGATTGCTGCCATGGTTATTCACATTGTCCCCAGTCTGGTTCCTGGGGGTTTGTTCCAATCAGTCAATTCTCTCCTAAAATGGAATTGGCAACGTCTCCCAGAACCGTTCCTCCCAGTCAGCCAGGCAGGTCAGGGGTTACCGTGGGGCCAGCTTACTCTTTGGGGTCAGAAATGGAAACTGACCATCTCCTAAGCCAATATGTGTGGGCGTGGGTGTGGGTGTGGGTGTGGGTGAAAAGACACGATGACAGTCCCAGTTTCCTTAGACCAGTGGTTCTCAACCTTCCCCATGCTGCGACCCTTTCATACAGTTCCTCATATGGTGGTGACCCCCCAACCACAAAATTCTTTTCGTTGCTACTTCATCACTGTCATTTTGCTATGCTTATGAATCGGGCGACCCCTGTTAGAGGGTCGTTCCACCCCCAAAGGTCCCTCGCCCACAGGTTAAGAACCGCTGCCTTAGATGAATGACACTCAGTTTTGAGTCTTTAGGATGGCCAGTCGCTTGGTAAGGAAGCTTCTAGTGATCACCATGATTTGGGAATCAATCAGAGTCAATAAGTATTTCCTCTACCCAGCTCTGTTGAAACCTCCCTTATCTTACGTTCTAGTGAGGGGAAGAGAGGCTGGGTAGAAAGTGGTAGAGAGCCCAGTCATTGACCTTGCAGAAAGGACAAACTAGTTGGAGAGAGGAGGATCAACAGAAATGTTAAGGATCACCAAGCTGCCCTGGCCCCCCAAAATCAGTCAATGACAGTTATGTTCAAACAAGAGATTTCCTGTACATTCTCCATTTTCTTCTCTTCGTTAACTGCCTTCCCACCCCTTCCCCTTCAGACTGAAGGCTGATCAGAGTTGGGGTTCAGTTCTTGCTTTTCATCCTACCCTAGAAGATGTCAAGTGAAGTAAGTGCTTATAGGCATAGGAAGTAACAAGGGAAAGCTGGGTACAGGCAGCAGAAAATTCAGGCAGGGCAATCACAGCTCAGTGATCAGGACTCAGCTCGGCCTTTAACATGTTGCCCTTTTCTTTCAAAGCAGCTAGGGAAGATACATCTCATCTTACCCAGTTTTGAACCAGGTTGGGAAAGGTGTACAGTGGACTGTATCCTTTCACCTTACTCATTTATATGCTCATTATATTACTCATCGATATGCTGAATGAATCATTCAAGAAGCTGGACTGTACGAAGAACTTGCCATCAGGACTACTGGAAACTCGCATACAACCTGCAACATGCAGATGATATAACCCTGCTTACAGAAAATGAAGGCAGTTCAAAGCACTTATGATGAAAGCCAGGGACTGCAGCCGTCAGCGTGGATTCCACCTGAAGGGGAAATTGCAAGTCCTCACAACTGGACCACTCAATATGATAAAGGAAGAAGAAATGAACATTTTTGATGATTTCGTCTTACTTCTTTTTACTTGGGTCAACAACGTGCATGGAAGCAGCAGTGACGAGATCTCTGGGGAAATCTGCTGTAGAAACCTCCTTAAATGCTTTGAAATGCAAAGGTGTTACTTTGATGGCCAAGGTGTGTCTGACCTGAGTCATGGTTTGCCAACTGCCTCCCATGCAAGTGAAGCTGGACAGCAAGAATGGCTGTGCTGTTGGTAAATGAAATAGAATATTCTGTGGACCGCCAGAGTACTGAACAAGTCATCCTTCAAGGAAATGCAACCAGAATGTTCCTTAGAAGCCAGGATGGCAAGAAGACTTGGGCGCACGTGGGACTTGTCATGAGGAAAGACCAATCTCTGGAAAGAGGAACATGTTTGGTAAAGAAGTAGTAGTTGTTGTGTGCCCTTGAGCCAATACCAGCTCACAGTGACCCCACAGGTCAGAGTAAATGCCCCAGCGTGTTTTCTAGGTCGTGATCTTTACAGGAGCACATCATCAGTTTTCTCTCCCGTGATCCCTTGGTGGCTTCGAAGCACTCACGTTTTGGGTTAGTAGCTGAGTGCTGAAACACTGGACCACCAGGACCTTTCGGAAAGTCAAGGGAAACGAAGGAAATCCTCAGTGAGACAGGTCAACACCATTGTCAGCACAAGGGCCTCAAACATCCCAGTGACCCCGAAGACAGAGTCAGGCAGCGTTTGGGGGTCGGAGCTGGCTCCTGGCAAAGGGCAATAACAACAGGGTACATGGTGGGCACAGCATCCGCTCAGTCTTGGTTTTGAACTAAAACAAGACAAAAGCATGCCTCTATGGGAAAACTGCACAGGCAAGGGCGGCAACTGCTGCCTGTCCCACCCCGGGGAGGAGAACTGGGAACAGGGACACACAGACAGTGCAGTGCAGGATGCTCGGGCTCATCTGCTGTGGTTCCCTTCTCTCTTCCCTTTGCTCCTTCATTCTTGGCTCTGAGCCTCAAACTCACCTCTGTCTGCACCCCTGCCTCTAGGCTAGCTTCTGCTCCCCACCCTGGCTCTCTCACGCTAGTTCCTGCCCCTCTTCCTTAGCCCTCACTCACCGCTGGCTTATTAGGCTGGCCTTGGGTTCTCAGCCCATCCTCCTGACACTCCCTCTCTCTCTCTCCCTCCCTCCCTCATTTGATTGATTCTGACTGTTGGCTCTGGTTCTCTCTAATGAGCTCTCTGCCTCCCACTTGCACTGGGGCTCTCTCCACACCTTCTCCTAGCCCTACTGGCCCTTGACCAACCTCCCTCTGCAGCCTCTCCCCCGCCTCACATAATATTGTTCATGCTCTTCTCACTTGGGCTCACCTTGCCTCACACTCTTTTATTTGTTACACACACACACACATACACACACACACACATACACACACACACACACACACACACGCTGGCTCTCCAGATGGCATGTACACTCTTCCTCCCTTTCTTTGTTCCACCCCAAGCTCTGGGTCGCAAGAGCGCTGACGCTTCCTGTGCTCTTTCTCAGTCTCTGGATTTCCCCCGCTCTCTTTGCTTCTCTCTCAAATGCGCAGGCAAAGACCAAAGAAGGGAAAGATAGCCTTCCAAGGGGATGAGTGACCTGACCCACACTTCATCTGTCTTCTTCACAGCATGAAACCACCCGTCCCATCAGTCACTCCTTGCCAACCACTTCGAGACTCTTTCCTAAGCTTCCAGTTTCTCCATGATCTGGACACTGCCCTACACAGGGTGGTCTTGCTGCAGACTGGGAACCGAAAAGAGTAGATGATGGAAACCCTGATTCCAAGGATCTTCACTTTGGGGGGGCACATGAGAATGTGGAAACCTAAAATCCCAGGATCTATGCATAACCCCAACTCTAAACTCACTGCCATCGAGTCGATGCCAACTCAAAGCTGCCCCATAGGACAAGGAGTGTCTGAGATCGTAACTGTTTACGAGAGTAGAAAACCCCATCTTTTTCCATCGGCGTGGCTAGTGTTTCGAACTGCTGACTTTGTGGGTCATAGCCCAACTTGAAACCACTAGGCCACCAGGGCTCCTGAATCCATGTATAGTCATCTACAAAAAAGGTGCTTACAATTGAAGAAGGTGACAGATCCTCTGAAGCTTGTCTGCGATCTCACACTGAGAAGCTCTGCTTCTTAACTAAATCAAGGTTGGGGATGGTGGTAGTTATATAATCGTTTGTCAATTTGAGAGGATTATGAGTTAAGGGGTGGAGTCTAGGCTGTCAATCAGGTGATAGCCAATGAGGCCTCTGTGTGGGCACGGCCTTCTCCTGAGAATTCTGGGAATTCCTGGATTTCTTCCTTGGAGTCTAGGTCTCTCTCTCTGTTCATTCCATGAGAGATGCTCTACTGACAAGACACATGACACTACACTGCTAGACTCCATGCCCTGGGAACTGGAGGAGCCACTTGGAGACCCCTGCCAGTGCTGAGATGCTTCTACCACCACTGGATCCACAAGACTTTGCACCCACTGGCTTATGATCCTGGATTTGGTGTCATTGTTTTTTGTGAGTCTCGTGTTTGGGACATGT